TCCGTAGATAATTCAAATATTTGAATCACTACAATGCCTGAAACGTGAGTGGCTCACAGCCAATCACAGGTGAGACATTTAAATGTCATCTCGTTCCCATTGGACACACCTGTGCAGCGTTAGCCAATCAGGAGACACTTTAAGTTTGACTTCAAGGGTGGTTTAAGCATTAAAAAAACACACAATTTTAACAGCTAAACCACTACTTCCTGCATGTTTATTACACTTTAACCCCAAAAACTAATCAAAAGAGTTTTTTTCTTTAAAAAAAAAAAAACGCTGTTGGTCAGAAAATATTGTGTTTTTTTTTCTTCCTCCTATCAGCCAATGACAACAGATCCCATATCAGACGCCTGCAGACACACGGACATCCTGTTATAATAAGGACAGAGGAAAATCACGCTCAGGAAAAGAAGAAGAAAAAAGAAAAATCCCACTAAAGCAAACACCATCAAATCACCATCGATCAGGAGACGTACAGTGATGACAGTTCTGAGACAATAAAACACAAAGAGGAAACGGTGATTAACAGGCGTAGAAAAACAGGATCCAAAAACTTCTGCTGAGGACAGTTAGAGACGTCGGCTTCAAACCAACATGAAATAAACTCCATCTCAAGGATGTTGTAGCAAAAATAAAAACAGTCGACTCAGCAGTTTCTACCGTCATTGAACGGATTCAGATGTGAGACGTTTAATGAAGGTTAAAGAAGCGACTGCAGTGTTGAGCTTCTACCACGGAGCTCCAACCAGGAGTCGATGATTAACCACAGGAATGTCAGAGATAGAGAGAGAGAGAGAGAGAGAGAGAGAGAACAGGTTAGAGACGGCGACCTCAGAGAGATTTATGTCATCACTGCTCTCTGCTGTATTTCACTTCCTGACGTCTAAGAACACGTTCCATCACTAAGATATTCAACCGATTTCCTGAAAATGTCCAAATCCTGGAATCAAGAGCCACAGAAGAAAGGAACGGTTCTGGCACCAATTAAATCACAGAAAATGATGACAACAAATGCCAGACAATAATAATAATAATAAATATTATTAATAATAAATGAATTAATATATAAAAGTATAAACTAAATTATATAAATGTACAGAAAAACATGAATGGAATAACAATAATAACGCATATAGTATTATTATTATAACACATTGCAAATAGTTACTTAATATAATTAAATTAAAATAATTTAAAAAATGTAAAAAAAAATTCATTTATTACAGGTGGAAAAAATTGGATTTTCACAATTAAAAATGCTTTTAAAAAAATCCTTTTTTTTTCAGAGGTAAAATATTGAATGCTGGAAAAAAAAGCAACTTTGAAACAAATTTGAAACTTGTTTCATAATGGTTGAAAAACAACAATTCCATTAAAAGTTTAAAAGGCTCAATAAAAATGAATTAAAAAGTCATTTAATATCCGTCCATGTTTCACACACACAACTCTTCTGCAGCTGGAAAAACCAAAACTGTTGACTATTTAAAAGTAATCGTATAATTTTACCCTCATATTTATGGAGATCTTGTGCCAAAGAAATGTCTGTGAAAAAAAAATCTATGTGTGGCTGCATGTGTTTTATACCTGGAAGCACTCAGCATAAATTTGAGAAAGAAAAAAAAAAAAAAAAAAAAAAAAACATCCTCTCATCTCTTTCCACAGGCTGTCAGCCATATTTCTCTCAGCTACGCCCATCTGTCTGTCTGATCTAAAGGGCCGAGGACGGAGTGGGTCCAGATTTAAACACTCGCTCAGACAGATGCTGATAAAGATGACGGGCACGACAGAGAGAGAGAGACAGAGAGAGAGAGACAGAGAGAGAGAGAGACAGAGACAGAGAGAGAGAGAGGTGAAAATCCCCAGGGACGGGAATGAATGAACGCAGAGAAGAAAATGTGAGAGTTTGAAAGTTATAAAATAATTGTAGTTAATGTGCAGTTTGTCCAGACAGTGACACAGCAGTGAGGATAAACTGTAGTGAGAGAGAGAGAGAGAGTCACCAAGTGTGTGTGTGTTTGTGTGTGTGTGACAATAAATCATCATCCTCAATAGACACATAACGACGCAGCTGCTGCCGTTCTTCATCTTTTCCTGAGAAACGTCCCTTCATTTCTTCTTCTATCACTTCTGTCTGTTTCACATACACACACACACACACA